GGTTCGGCACCCCCAGGAGATCGGAGAGCTCGGGAGATTGCTTGACGGAGTTCCTCGTCAGGATCCGGCGTTCGTTTGCGGCGGATGCGGTGGAGCTCGGTTTGTGCCGTGCGGGAGGTGCAGCGGTAGCAGGAAATTGTTCGTGGAGGAAGAGGGACGGATGCGGAGGTGTGAGAGCTGCAATGAGAATGGATTGGTACGCTGCCCTAACTGCTGCTCTTCTTCTTCTTCCTATTGAAATAAATCGGTTATAATTTGGGTAAATTATATATCAAAAAAAAAAAAATGAAAAAAAGAGTTGATAGATTAAAAGTAGGAGGGATTTGTGATTTGATTTTTGATTTTTAGATTGCGATTGAAATTAATTCGTTCGTGGAAGGTATCTTGATTATATTTTGTGGGTTTTTTATAACAAAAAAGATGGATTGCAAGTGTTATGTTCTCTGAGCAGTTTAGGGTTCATGGAAGGTCTGTATATATAATATGTAATATAAAAAATTTGGCTATTAATGGATTGTAACTGTTATAACTGCGCATTGGCTGATACAAAACAAGATGGTTTATTTCATAAGATCTCTATTGTTTTGGTTGATGATGCACTTTGCATTGTTGAGTACTCTGGATTCTGATTTTTATTTTCCTTGGTGAAACTTTCCTTGGTTCATTCAGTGATTTTTTTATGAAATGCACTAAAATTTGCTGTAATAGAAGTTTTGATTGATTATTTAAGATTCAATTGATTCAGAGTTCATCTTGGTCATATTTTGTGTACAATATTCTTACGATTTTGTTATTATGATGCAATTTTCTGTTTGTTTATGCATGCAATCTACCATAATATGCAATTGAAAGATGTAATAATTTTTGTTTAGATTGTCATAAACCTGAAGAAAATTGAAACTTGTGCTAGGGATGCAGGCTTAAATATGATATTTGAAACATATGATCTTCCTCCCAACTCAAGCTTGCTGATTTGTCCAATATTATAAAGTATATGTTTGGATTTTTTTCGGGTCTGAACATGTTCAGGACACACCCGAACACTATATCTGCATGTGTTTAACATGATTTTGATAAAACGAGACACGAGAAGTAGAAAATTATATATATAGTTTTAATTATATCTCATAGTCGAAATTGCTCTCTCATTATAAAGCATCGAATGTGCATTATTAGATGTTTTCTGTTTATGATCTCAAGTTGGATAATTTTTTTTTTAAATATAAAAATTATTTTTTATAAGCATAAGATAAGATGTTATAATTAAATTTATGAAGTTAAATTTTATTCTTGTATAATTAGTTTTGTGATGTTTTTAATAAGGAATACTTAATAAATAAATAAATATATTGTTAATTAATAATTAATTAAATATAAAAACATGTTTAAAACATGAAATTAAAGTACAAAGTGGAGATCATTTAAAAAAAAAAAAAGGTACAAACTAGAGATTATGGTTACAACATTATATTTAATATAAATTTTTAAATAGATTTAAAAAATTTTGATAAATTAAAAGTAATTTATAATGTTTTTCATCATTTAGTTGGATGTAATCAAAGCTATATCAAACTCTTTAAAATGTTTAAATGCTATATTGTCATGAAAGAAAATTAGAAAAAGATGGCACTTTGCTTTCTTGTGGGTTGCTTGAAATGATAATTATATGCATGTGGTTGTTTTGTGATGACCTTTTAAAGCCTTGAATCTGAAGCAATATGACTATAGCTTTCTTAAAGTTCATGAAACAATCTAAGTGATTTATTCTGTTGACATGGGGTGGCTTAAATAAATTAAATATTTTTTTTTTTTTGTAAAGATAATTTCTCCTGATTAGGATGAAAATGTCAATCTAATTAGGCGCCGTTGTTTTGGATCAAATCTGTATTTGTTGATATGGTTGACCAAAATTTACACAATTCCTTCATATTTTACATCTCTGGTTCATAAGGCTTTCACACATATATAACAACCAAATCTTATTTCGATCATCCTTCGGACATAAAATTATTATGTATAGAGTTTATGCGTAATATTTTTTCTCGTGGAAGACGGCTTATTGTCACGGTCAAACTTATCTCAAGTCCTCCGTACGGTTTTAATGCTCTTCTTAGGAACTAAATAGCCTAACCATCATAATGCTCGGATGGGGGAGAGTGACATTATGCTTTCTTCCCTTAGAAACTTTAAAGAAATTTGTCAACAACTTGAAATTTTGGCGAAAAGAATGGGACATTTACATACATAACATACAATTCTTATCTATTTACTTTTCTAATAATTATTTTAATTTTTAAAATTTATACCACAAATCTTTATTATCATATTTAAAATATTATTATTTTAACTAAAAAAATTAATTATATATTTTGTTGCATATATTATCTTTGTGCGTGCGTATGTGCACGTGTGCGCGTGCACGTGTGATTAGATGTTAGATATGCAAATACATAAGATTAAAATAATATGCTTGTTTTTATGAAATTTAGGTATACGCAACAGTTTTTATGTATTTACACGTCAAACATATTACATTTAATATTTATTTTTATAACTTAACAGCATTTTGATGTCAAAAGCTTATGCATATAAACGTTATTTAATGGTAAAAATAATAATAATAATTTTAATATTAGTAATAATATTAAATATCTAAATATTATACATATAAAAAAAAAAGCTTTAATTAAATTTATAAAATTTAGGATACATATATTAAGGCCCCTTGAATTTTTTGTAAAATGATAAATTCTCTCAATTTTGATAATGTAAAGGCAGGTTTGACATCATTTCCAATTTTCTTATATGTCTATAAATAAACATGTTTTTTACATAAATTTTCATATAAAACTAATCAAAAAATTAAAATTTTAAATAGATATTATTTTAAAATAATGAATCATATAAATATAAAATGTTTAACAATGAACTACATATGCATCTGGTCATGGACATTAACAAGCGAGTTTGATTATTCAAATTTAGTTCATTTAAACCCTAACTCTATTGCACGGAAGCTGAAGTCGTTACAGTTGCATTAACTTTAATTATTATTTACGGTTGGCATTTGATTGACATTGAGATAGATCGTTTGGAACTTTGGAACTATTGTACTAAGAAGAAAACATATTCTTGGAGTCTTATTATTTAGATGAAAAAATTATTTACTCTACTTAAAATTATGCAAGTTAATTGGCTATTTACCTATCGAGAAAAAACCAATGCGCAAACTGCATGGGTTGGAGAACCAAGCCTTCATATTTTCGGTTCCAGTATCTCACTAGTTTTCTATTATTATTCATGGTGATTGTTCTGGAACTCCTTATATTCGATATATAGTATTTTTAAGACTTTTTTGTGTTAGTTGTACTTAATGACTGATGGTTTCTTAGGTTTTTATTTCTTTGCGTGAGTTGGGTGGTTGGTATGTAGTGAAACTGTCGGTGACCATTTTTTTATTGGAATAAAATTTCCTACGGGTTCTTTAAAAAAACCCCCTAAAAAATATTCAAACTTGTTTGTTTACTAATTTGAACAAACATGAATTGAGTCTTAATCAAGCCGAATTTTAGCAATTCTCATCATACACAAACTTAAGAATCAAATAATATAAATACAAAAAAAATTAAGTATTAATTATGTAAATACACAGGATATGAACGGTAATGCATGTAAAATCCTTCAAAATTAAAATCAAAATAAAAAATAATGATAATTATAACAATAATGAAATGCAATGGGAGGAAGAAGAAGAAAAAGAAGAAGAAAAAGAAGTATCATCATTGGCTAAGGGGCATGCATTCAAGCTCCAGTTCTAAGTGGCCACTCTCCACATTCTGGAGCTTGAGGCAAATCTCCTGCTTTACCTTACCTTCCACCAGGAGGAATAGGCTGTCCCTCACCAGCGAGCTGTGCTCCGTTGCCACCCATTTCCCGACCTGTGCCGGCTCCGACGAGCTTAAAACACAGTTCTCATAAGCTCTGGCTAATGCTACCAGTGGCTGGATATCTATTTCACCCACCCCCATCTCGTCGTCTGTGCTCAATCTATCCTTATCGAACACCTCCTGCAAATTTACATTTATACCGCACGATTCTTATGTATTTACATATTTATTAACATCTTGGTGTCATAAACCTATGCATGAAAATGTGCATTTCAGTTTTAAAAATATAGTATAAATAAATATAAAGATTTAAGTATTCAATATATAAATATATGAGAATTATAAGACACGCATGTAAATCTCCCTATCATATTGAAAGACTACTAACATTACCTTATCTAAAATGAAATAAGGACTTCTGTGTGAATTTTGATGCAGGGTAGTGAACAAATAAATATAAAGATTTGAATATAATTCTAAGTTATGTTTGCAAATCTCCCCATCATATTTAAAGGAGAACTAATCAATAACTCTCAACACATCACTCATTCTTCTTTAATGAGTGCCATATAGAGACATTTCTTTATTAGTTAAGGAAAAAATCCTTAAAGAGCTAGAAATGAGGTATAAAAACGGCAACTTTTCTTTTATCTCAATTGAAAATGATAGGAGGAATCATGCTCAAGTTTCAAAATGGAACAAGAGAAGAAAAAGAAGGAAAGAACACTAGTGAGATGAACAAAAGTTAAATATTTGCAACTTATATTTATCTCTGTGCGGTCATAGACAAATGAATTTGTTAGAATTAAATGGAAATATGATACATAACAGGACACAATGGAGAAAAGGATTCATTTAGCTGACTCCACTTGATGGGATAAAGACTTGTTGTTGTTGTTGATAGGCAAATGAATTTCACTCGACCATGTAAATTTTCTTATGTACTTTTATCGATGTTCTCAACGAAATAATTGGGAACCAACACAAACATAAAAAAGAACGTTTCTTTTTTTGTGAGCACAATTTTCAAGGCAATCCTAGACCACAGAGAGAGGATAAAAAAATGGCTCACCAGCCTCAGGGGAGGAACAGGATCTGGAATTGACAGCATCAGACTTTCATTCCACACAGGATTTAAATTTCTCCTCACTACTCTTGTTTTCATTGTCTGCCAAAAAAGAGCAAACAAATTCAGACAACTTTGATGGTAGAAAAAGAGAGATGAGATCTGTTTATCAGAGAAAAGCTTCTCACTTGGTGTCCTAAAGTAAGAATGACGTAAGGATCGCTGGTTAGAACATCACGGACGGCAAGATTGGTACCCCTTATAATGTTCACCTTAATCAAGCCAACAAATTCAACCATGCCCATCTGCAACAATGAGTTCTGTTGTTAAATTCCAAAGTTAAAAACTCTGAATCATCATAGGAAAATTATGAAACAGGGTGGAAATTTGCATACATAACACACAACTGTTCCGTATGACATTAATTATGTTTATTCGACTCGAAATTTAAGAGCAATTTTTTTGGGGGCATTTACATGCATAGCATGTAAGTCTTATAAACTTGCATATCTTAACACCTAAACATTCATATTTACATGCATACCACACCAATGTTTAAAAACAAATCAAAAATACTACCATCACTATCTTTTTAGAAGTGAAATACACATTTTCATGCATAAATTTATGACAAATATTATAGTGTAAATATCAAACTTTGGGTGTTAAGAATAGTGTGGTATGAATGTAAATTTTCCTTTGAATTATGTATCATCTAACTGTAACAATCAATGCAGGACCAAATAATGTAACAAGGTTGTGGGCTCCAAAAATTGTGATGCCCAAGACTCTGTATATTTTTGTTAAGAGCTTTGATGGTCAAATTTTTAGAAGGTAGATTGGATTGTGCATAAAACACTACCCATAGATTTTGCCCTCGTCTTGCAAGGACTTTCTGACCTTATGATTTGAGGTTTTCCACAGGTGCAAGCCCCTATGATTGATTATCTGGCTCTCCCAATTAAGGCTAGTAATTAAACACTGAATATTTAACATATAACAGTGGCAGTCATACAATATAAATTATAAAATTTATCACTTGAGCTTAAAGCAGATAGTGGGAGAAATGATGACAAACCTGATTGAGATATCATGGTTATGTCATCCCAGGTTATTATAGTCTTTGATCTACTTGATCGAAAGTGGCAGGTGACCAAATCTGACTGCCATATTGAGTGAGGAATCACAATAGCTGTCATTCGGTTATTCTGAGTCCTAGACTTGAGCTGTAAACGAACTTGCGCTTCGCTAACTTAACCTACTGGAGATCACAAGCTCAAAATTCTCTTTTTTGAATATCTGAATTGCGACAAATATGAGAGAGGAACCTCTAACTTTTGAAATTGCGTGTAGTGTAACATGCCTGATGATAAAGGCATTTCTACACATTCACTTGAATGTACCTTCAACACTAATATGTTAAATCATCAATTGGGGAACTCATATTAGACACGATATCGACCCAAATGATAAAAGATAGAATATATTTGGGGAAGCTATGTCAAACCAAATAAATTTAAATGCAACCAAATCTCGATAGCAAAAAAAAATTTTTCGCTAGCCATTAATTTGACATGAAGTTTGAGCTAATTTCTTTGGTCTTATGCTTCGCATTTTATCAGATTATGTTTTGAAAAAGAGAAAAGTTCCTGCAGTCTGTTTAATGCTTAGTCAGGCCTTTTGAAGAAAGTTGATTATTTAAAATGGTAATGACATCAAACTCAACTAATTTTTTTCTCATGTAAGTATCATGTTTTAGTTTTGCCTTGATCCGTCGATCAGTTGAGAAAACTTTATGAATCTATATCACTTGACCTTGTGAAGTTGAATAAACTTGCACTTTTGTTGTCATCAGACATACAAATAGGGCTCTTTACACTTATTGATTGAAGAGAAAAACCAGCACCGACCACATCTTGGCTTGATGAGACCAACCTCTGCCTAAGTCCTAAAATTGAGCAACAATAATCGTGTACTTTATCGTTGTCAAACTAATAAATTGGGCTCTTCACTACGACCTTGCCTTGTTAAGTGAAAAGAAAAGCAAGCAACTCGAACACACTTCGGCTTGTTGATTTCAGCCTCCATCTAAGTCCTAGACTTGAGCATAATAGGATTTATACTTCTCCAACTTAACTTGGTTGAAACTTATTCACAAATTTTCTCGCTTGACATTTGAAATCTTAGCGGGTTTTGAAGACAAACCTCTAACCTTTAGAATCATCTTATATATCTTGTTTGAAACTTGTTCTTTTTGAATTGTCAAATTGAACACAACTTTATCATTGACAATTTGAACATCCTCTCAAGGATCTCGATATTAAGCAGGATGTCACCCAAGTTACTTGGGGATCTCAACACGAGTATGCTATCAACCCAAATAAAGGAAGATCTTGATGTTAAGCAAAATGTTGACCCTTCTAGCTAGGAGACCTCAACATTGAATTAATAGTTACCCAAAATGATAGGGCCCCAATCTAATAAAGAAGGGATTTTAGTGATGAGGGCGCTTAATAGACTCAGCTTTGGGCATAATTTTAACTTGAACGCGTAAGAATCTTGGAAATAGTTGTACCTCATCTAAAAAAAAAGAAACAACTTGATTTTACAATGCACATAAAATTTCAGCTATGAACACAACATCAAACTAGATGATAGACTTTTGATTTGGAGTTCAGTGCCACCTTGAATAATTATACCCCTTTTTTGGCAAAGGAGCGATTTCAACACTTGGAAGTATTACACTCGTGCTGGAATAGAGCATATATTCTTATTTTCCTAAAGGAAACTTAGGAAATAGTTTTGACTAGGTTGTTATGTGTAATGCTTCTTTGAACATTGATCATTAATTAGTGATTTTGATCATTGACAATTTAGGTTGATGAGTTGGCAGACTCCTCCCTATATCTCTTCTCGATGACAAAGAGACCTTACAAGTTAGGTTCAAATTTTCTGCCAACCTTAGGTTTAATGATCCATTTGCTAAAACTTTGCTATGTGAGCTCAAATTCAATAATACTCACATCGACAAGGATTAAAGAAACATTTCTATTTGACTACTTTGGATATATTGAGGGAGTGATGAATGAACAGAATCATATCCCGCTACATTAATTTGATAACCACTCCACTTGTGTAGTTAAAGTTTATTGACAATGGGATCCTTTGATAGACTTTCCAAAGTGTCAACCATTAGAAGATTCATCAATGAGTTTTCTTCAAAGTTCATTTTTGAATGATCTTGTTAATGGTGGATCTTTGAGAGTATGAATCAGATGTCATGCCAAATCTCTCTCTAAATATTTCACATTCATGAATTTTGAGCTATATCATAGAAGATGGAAGGCAGCGGCTTCCTAATTGAAACTTTGGTGCTCTCAATCACCATAAGCTTTTTCACACATTTTTTTCGTGAAGCTTCTTTCTTTGGCAACTTTCTGAATCAAGTAGACGCTAATAAACAACATTTCAGGTTACTTATTTTCAGTGGCAAGGGTTCTTGTTGAACCCAAAAAGATTGTTTACTTATCGGTAGAGCTATTCTTTTTAACCCATTTTAGGCTTTTTTAATTGACTGTGGATGGGAATACTCACTTCAAATAATTTTGCTTATTGAACAATTAGTTGTTATAACAGTAATTGTTGAGCCCTTAGTTCAATTTTTTCATTTTCATTTGTCTTCTAAATAGTATTCTTTCGAATCATTTTGACGCAACTTTGAATAACTACAATAGTGACAATAGCATCAGCAATGAAAAATCTCTACACCATCGAGCTGGACAGTGAAAAGTAGGATTCCCTAGAAGAGTATTATCATCTTTAGAGATGAAAAACCTTTTGAGTGTCAACCACCATGATAATTACTAGTAGCAATATATTCTTCTGAAATTCAATCGTGATAGATTCCTTTCCATTGACATTCCTACCCTTCTACTCAGACCAACCAATAGTAGTTATTTAGAATTGAAATTCAAATATCATTAGACAATATTTCTCATTATGCATGAATGATTTGATAGTAGATTCCTAAATTAAGATTCAATGGCCATACATCAATGCTCACCAGATAGTTTTTTTTTTTTTTTTTCTGTTGGGACCTTTCGATGATAGATTCCTAGATTGAGATCCAAAGGTCATGCTTTGATGCTTATCAAATAGATTTTATCTTTCAATGGCAAATTCCCATATTAAGATCCAAGGGCCAAACTTCGATGCTTACTAGACAGGTCATTTTTCAATTGGGACCCTGCAATGACAGATTTTTGTATTGAGATCCAAATGTCATGTTCATATGCTCATCAAATAGATTTCATCTTTTTTGGGACAATTCAATGATAGAATATTGGATTAAGATCCAAGGGTCGTCCATCAAAGTTTGCCAAACAAAATTTCCTTATGTTTATGAGTAATTATATGTATGAAAGCAATTTAGATTCATTTATCTTTTATCATTTTTAAGATATTATTATCGCGAATGTATGACTAGCCAAAAATGGAAAGAGAAATTTTCCCTAGAGCAATCACCAAAAATTTGTGGGCTTGAAAAATTGACGCCCCATACTAGTTTTTTTATGAGAGCTTTGAGCTTTGAGGGCCAAATATTCAAAAGGCATTAGATTGTGGATAAGACACTACCCAGATATTTCATCCTCATTTTGTGAAAACTTTTTTATCCAGGATTCAAGGTTTCTCATAGACGCAAGCCCTTATGGTTAATTACTTCTACTAATAGGTGAGCACTTTCGATCAAGAATAGTGATTAAACATTGAATATTTAATAAATATAATAATGACAGACATAAAGTTTAAATTGTAATTTTTTTCACGTGGAGCTTAAAGTGGATGGTGGAGAAAATGATGACGAACCTGATCAAAATCATGTGGTTCCATCATCTCGAGTTGTCATGGAGCCTAATCTACGTAGTCAGAAGAGGCAGTCGACCCAACCTGACTGAAATATCCCTGTCAGCAACCAAGAGCTGTGTCATCCAAGGAAAACTTGTAGATTGGGAGTGAATGATTGTTTGATGGGATAAATTTAAGTCAATCTTAGCTGATCACGTCCATCATCGAAGGAATTTAAACATTTGAACTATTTTTTTTTTTTTTTATTTTATTTAGCATTTGAACTATTTATGTTTCAAGTGAATTTGATATTTGTTGGTACAAAATCTTTTAGAATAATTCATATCGACTCCAGTCTTTACAAGGAGGAGAATCAGACTAGGCGATTTGAACTTGCAAATTTTTATGTTTGTGATTTGAATAATATTGAAACAAACTAGACTAATCAACTCCAATCTTTAAAAGAAGAACAATCAAACTAGTTGAATGAGACTTATAACCCACCCTATAGACAAGACGACCCAAATGAGTGATTTTTAAAATAATATTAACCATAGTCAAAACCTTATTCAAAGTTGTGCAGCATTCCTGAGCTCTTTAAATTTAAACATTTATTTAATTTAGTGGAGCGAACCCGCGCGCGTGCCTACACACACACACATGTACACAAGAGAGGGTTTTAGAATAGAAATGGGAGTTTCACAATCAGCAGTCTGCAAATGTCCCAATCACCTCAGTGCTTTTCTTGGTAGCCCTAATCGTGACTATGTCACAGATTCAGATGAGCAGAGAAGTGAAGGTTAGTGTCGCGTGACAAAGAAGTTAATGAACGACTTCAGTGTGGTCGGAGCGACAGGTAGGGACGGAGGTGTTTGGTGTAGGGAGACAGAAGAGAGTTTAGAATGTCTTTGTATGTCGTAATCATGTCATTGCTTTCCTCGCTAGCCTTAGTCACGGCTATATTACGAGTGAACTTTGGTCGCAAGAGGAAGATTAGAGGCGGCGAGCGATTTTGCGTGTGATTCACTGCGACCGAGAACAAGTGGAGCATAGAATTTGGTGATGGGTTGTGCAACAAAGAGAGGAAGAGATCGAAAGCAAAGAGCTTTGGCTTTGGGGTCGTGTGTGAGGCAGGAAGGGAGAATTTTTGCACTTCGATCGAGAGAGGTGAGAAGACAGACAAATAAGGGGAAAAGAGAAGCAGGATTTCACGTCCTCTTTCTATAAGGAAACACTTTCTATTTTGTGTGTATGCTAAGTATAGGAGAGATAACAGTTATTGAGGTCCTTGGAGGAAGCGGTTATTAGCATTTTCTAGTATTTATTATTATTATTTTTTAATGATCAGCAAAGGTCTATTATTCGATGTGTGCGCTCTCAATGAGTTCAGTGTAATTTTTAGGTTGCACTTATTTTTACTTCTCTTATAAATGGAGAGGGAGTGATACCGTAGTTAACCCAAACAACAATATAAAAATAAATATTATTATTGAAAAATTCAATGAGCGATTACAACCAACACACTGAAATGGGAAATAACAACAGGCATAACATACAGCTCAACTAGGGTTGTATTCCAAAAGGGTGGTGGTTGGATAAGCAGGGTTGGGAGTGGTGGTAGGTGGTTGGAATGGTTGGGTGGGGGTTCAAAGGTGGCGGTTGCAGCAGGGAAGGGGCATTTGGGTGGCTGTTTTGGAATGGCAACAAGCATAGGGTGGCTGGAAGAGCCAGAGAAAAATAGCCTGTTTTTTTCCGGATGACGAAAACAAGAGGGAAGGGGTGGCGGCCAGGACCCAGCCTGGAAAGTGGGGAAAAAGAGGTACTGGAGGGAAGTGCAAAGCTGGCTGCAGGTTTGGAAGGGCAGATAAGGATTGGAGTGTTTGGACTGGCCGCGAATTTGAAAGAGAAGATAACGCTTGAGGTGGTTGGACAACAGGTAGACTGCAACAGAGGATGGTAGGGGTTGTTGGAAGGTTGTGGACGGTTGTGGGCTGCTGAAAACAACGGCGTTTGGGTGGT